CGGTAAATTCTTCGGAACGGCTGGATCGTCGATGCACTCTGCCCGCGAGTACGGAATACAATGAACTCCGTCGGTCTATCTCTCCACAGCTGAAGTCAAGCCTCCGCTCTGACTCTGAATTCTGGTGGTCAAAACGATCTGTTGAGATGGAATCCGCTGCATCAGCTAGGAAACTTCCACAGTTTCCATCTCATCAGGACCACTGGTCGCAATTCACATGTTGTCAGTCAGGCAACCTGCGAGTCAGATGGCACGAAAATCACCAACTTACGCAAGAACTTGGATTACTGGGCAAAGCACTTTGCTTTCCAATCTAACTGCTCAGCACAGCCCACTGTGACATCTCCGTTTTCCTCGGATGGTGCTTCGCCTGTCCCCACAGATCCTCCTACGGAAACAGAAATCCGAAGCGCAATCCAATTTTTGAAACGTCAAAAAGCTCCCGACCCTGACAGCCTACCCCCACTTCTATTCAAATACGGCGGGAATGCACTTGTCAGCGAGATCCTATAACTGTTCAAGCGAGTTTGGATTGACGAGAAAGTCCCAACTGAATGGAGAGGATCGGTCACGGTCCAGATCTACAAGATCTACAAGAAAGGCTCCAACGAAGATTGCACCAATTACCGCGGAATTTGATGATCTCTGTTGCGTCTAAGATTTTCGTGTCTGTCCTACTCCGCAGGCTTTCTGTGATTAGAGGGCGTTTCCCGTGAGGAACAAGCCGGTTTTCATCTAGGCAGAGGTAGCATTGACCATATCTTCACGTTCCGCCTACTTCTTGAACTCCGTCACGTCCACCGTCGGCCAACGATCGTGGTGTCTTTGAACATCCAAATTACGTTTGACTAAATAAATAGATCTGCGTTGTGGAACTGTCTACTAGAGAAAGGTGTGCCCGACAAGTACGTTATCATCCCGAAGGATCTCTTTAGCCACACGTCGGCCAAATTCAGGGCTTACAACAGGTTTTTCTCTCCGTTTGATGTCACCAGCGGCGTTCGCCATGGTTACCCTACTTCATCTTCTTTTCCTCAATTTTGCCGCTGAAAATGTCGTCCAACAAGCACTGGAAGGCGTCCAAAAGTGCGGTGTTGAGCTTCCCCCAGGTGACAGCGTTACGGACTTGAACTACGCCGACGATATCGTTTTGCTAGGGGACGATCCACAAGCCGTACAGAGCGCTTTGAGCCGCTTAGCAGTGGAAGCGTCTAAGTATGGCCTGTATTTCAACCTTGGCAAAGGTAAAATGCTACTCCAGGATTGGTAGATGCCTGTGTCTGCTGGTGACATCCTGGAACAAGTCCCTTGCTTCACTTATCTAGAGAGTTGGATAACGGCTGGTGGCGGTGATGGAAATGAGGTCTCACAACGGATCCCAAAAGCCTGCCTTGCATTCATCAGACTAACACCCATGGCGTCGTCGCGATGTCAGTCTCAAGTTGGAGGGCAGTGTACATTGTCCGTGTCTGTGAGACTTGCACTACTCACTCGGAAGACGTGAAGCGATTATCAGTGTCTGACAATGGTTGTCTGCGTATGGCTGCTCGCGTGTGGTGGCAACATCACGTAAACAACACAGAAATCCGTGACAGAGTGCTTAGAGTAAACAGCCCGTAGCTCCAAAACATTATTCTCCGACACCGCATGCGTTGGCCCGGCCACGTATTACGCATGTCAGCCTATCGCCTTCTCCGTTGAGCGTTATTTGTCCTCCACGTAAGCAAGTGGAAAAAGTGCCGCGAGAGGCAATCAATGATCTGGAGAAAGAGCATGAAGAGGGCAACCTCAAGCTTAGCATCCGTTAGACCGATCCAGCTTTAAGGATATATATATATATATATATATATATATATATATATATATATATATATATATATATATATATATATATATATATATATATAGGTTCGGAATGCGGCAGTCATAGAGGAATCTGCCTTATTTTCATCACCTTTGAGGTACTTGCGTCTACCGTCCATCATAGACGCACCCGTGAAAGAGAAACTCGTAAGGAGGAAGCCAGATTTCGTCGAAATCGAAGCTACATTGATCACAGATTCACTTCACAATGATTATATAGACTGCCCACGCTAGTCCTGTTACTCGACATCAAAATGGCTTCGATTCGGTGGATCGATGTTGAGAAAGGTATGCCTGAGAAATATGCAAACATTATCAGAGCGCTTTACGCGCGCAGTTTGGATAGGGTGAGTGGGTTTGTGTGAAGCTGTCACCACGCTACAATATTTCCAGCGGTGTAAAACGGATGTGCACTGTCGCCTTTCTTTTGCAACTTCGCCATTAACGAATTAATGTGGGCTGCGTCCTCTGAACAAGACTTGGGAGGTGTGGAGCTGCTTCTAGGTGACCGGCTTCTGGAATTGGGGTAAGCTTGTGATATTGCCGTGATCTGTGACAGCTCACAAACGTGCCAAGCAGCACTGAACAGACTAGCACTAGCTGCCAATGGTTTTGGGCTATGCATTGCACTCTCTAAGTATAAAGCTTTCCTTCAAGATTCGCAGGGACCGTCCCTGCGCTGACTCTTGGTGGGGACCAGCAAAAAGCTGTCCAGAAATTTAATTACCTAGGCAACATTATCAGTGCCTGCGGAATAGAAAATGTAGCGACAAACCGTATGGATATGCATCGAAGTTCCCTTCCCAATTTCCGCCACCTATGGCGCCGGCACGACACCACTCTTAGCCTCAAGGGTAGAGTCTACAATGCACCCGTCCGTTCAAACCCCTTTATACCGTTGCGAAACCTAGCCCATCAGATCGACAAACATAAGATGACTAGTTGCTTTCGATCACCGGTGCCTTCGCAGGTTGGCGCATGTCTGGCAGTGAAGCAGCATCAGCATGTTCGGCGTCTCGTATGTTGTGCAAGAAGAGCGAGTGAACCGTTCCGCATCGTGATTTCACGTACCAGGCTCCAATGGCTAGGCCACGTGTTGCGCATGCCAGCACACCAACTCCCGCGACGTGCGTTTTTCGTGCGACCAGGATGTGGATGGATGAGGCAAAGCGATGGCATAGTCAAGAGTAATGAAGTCCCTCACTACGAAGTTGGCCTCAGTTGGAGCCTCTTGACTCCCGGGTTTGGGTCTTAAGGACGATGAACACATTTGGTTGGAAACACTTGTCGGTATCGTAAGTAACTGGCCACAATGGCGCCTGTGCTGTGAGTTTCCCTATCCCACCCCATCCCGCTTTGCTTCCCACTCCAACAACACTCTCGTTGGTAACGCATAATATAAAATAACGCATAATAACACTTCTTAGTTCTTTTCATTCTCCTTTCTCCCGACATCTGATTGCATTGTATTGCGATACATTGGCTGGGATGTCTCTCACCCCCAGCTAATGTGCATAATAATGATAATGACGACTGATCTGCTTCCCACCTGGGCCTAACCCAAGGGTAGTTCGGCGACATATACACCCTAAACAGCCAGTGTGGTTAGGAGACGATAACATACGCTAATGATGCCATTTGCAGGCAATGCACTGTGGCGCCTCCGTGGGCCGCGTGGGCTCCAGCCTGAAATGGCGAGAGTTCTAACAGTGCTTAAAACACCGGTATGATTCAAACGCGTCGCAATGAAATGACAGCGATAAGATGGGGTATTATCCCAAGGAGAGCATAAAACCAGCGAAATATATGTTGAATCGGGGGGATAAAATATTATCATTGTCGGGCTTCACGTGAGCTTCAACCCAGGGGAAGAGGAGTGAGAACCTTAAGACAACAAATGAATGTACGTATCACTTCTATCGGCTGCTTGATATAGCAGAAATGTCCAACGATACGTTTGTCGACAATTAAGCTTTGGCTGGCGGTTTAGACCGATGCATATACATGTTTGCAAAATTACTGGGGTTTCGCTTCATTTCTCATCTAATTCTAACACCCGGCAATCTTCCGAGCTCAAGTATCCAAAGGTAATCTGAATATGGTGAATAAACCCAAGATAATCAACGACCCACTAATTTTAGTGTTTTCACCAGACATGAGCCAATTGATGATGCGCCTTCCATGTTGGCTAATTACTGAAGTTATTCTCGAGCTTATTTCTGATTCAAAGAATATTAGTGAAGTGGTCGTCCTTCGCCTGATTAGATGGCCGGCTGTCGATCAGAAACTCGAGGTCACTAGCCCACAACCGGAAAGAGTATATATTTGCAAAGGTCTACGAATAGACATGATGCCATCAGAAACCATGGGATCCAAACGAAGGTACAGAAATAGTAAAAGGAAACACAACACAACAATGTCCATGGAAAGAGAAAAGACCGGGTCCGGACTAGCAGAGGAAACAGGGATGTATTTGCTAGTCACACCGTCACACCGAAATCGAACATTCGGTAACCGTATATACGTGGAAACGTGGAAACCTCCAGAAGTCAACTTATGACCAATCAAGCAATACCGGGCCGGGCTACCCAGTTGGCTATATGTTCTTCCAATTCATGCCGGAGAGTGCGCCTCGTTGGCCATGCTTTGGCTCCGTAACGGCGATCGGAGCAGCACCTATTATGTCGTCAAAAAGACTAATGGAAGTGTTCGTATCTGTGCTGATTACTCTAACGGGATTGAATGACGCTTTAAAAACGCACCAATACCCATTACCAGTCCTAGAAGATTTATTTGATAAGCTCAGTGATAGTGCTTACTTCGCAAAGCTAGACTAAGCAAACAGCTACGGAGAAGTGCGTGCTGAAAGTGGACACCGAAGGTGTCTGTATCTTCAAGGAGCAATTGCGTGGCAAGTAATCAGTGCAGTAACCGTCGCTTGGGACCTAAAGTGTGAGACATTAGTCCAGATAAGGTGAAAATACTCGTCAGATATTATCGGGTAGACATCGAACAGGTAACCAACATCCTGAATTCGGAAAAGACAATTTAGAAAACTAAGCATTCCAAATGCGATCGCTGTCGTTTAGTGTGTGCCTACGTGTGCAGTGGTGCTACAGGAATAGCGCTTAACTCACCCGGATGTAGAGAATGAGCGTAGTTAAAGTGGTAGAGTAAATGCTGACGTTCATCGTATTCTTGAGGCTCAGAAAAGAACCGATAAAGGGAGATTTGGTTGTGCTCTGAACGACCACGGTAGACAATGGGCATGGGGGATGTGGCCACATGCTCAAAAGGCATGGGATCCATGTATCTGGGGCTGTGATAGCAGTGAGTGGGCGTGAAAAATAACAACGCAATTCTACAGACAGATGTGGTCGTAAAATTGATGCTGCTCTCCACGCTGCGGGGCTAATTAAAGGCCAGCCAGTTAATAGAGTTGCCTGGAAGGCGGCGGAGCCTAGGCGGTCTTTGTAATGTGGCACATCGTCGCTCCAGTCGATAAGGGCATCATCAACATCAGGTTGCCAATGTTGCAGATCGTAAGCGTAGCTCTCTCGGGCCTCTTGGTGCATTGCGAAAGGAGTGAAGTCAGTCTGGAAGATTAGGGAACATGGTAGGTAGGAATACCAAGAAGCAAGGAAGTACTGGAAATACATGAAAAAGTAGACCTGAAAAGGTATGAAGCTTAAATATCGCGGTTATGCGCTGACCACGATGAAATTTCAAACGGAAGCGCCTAAACGGTTTGGACAGAAACATGCAGAGTCATTAGTTCATATCGCAATCATGTCATGCATAAAAGTGTGAATCTCAAATACAACGAAAACGACTTCCGAAATGATGTCGCGCGGAATGGGTGAGTTAGAAACAAAATTAGGTGCCCGGGAATTCGATCTTTAATAATCCCGATATAGAGTAAGTGGGTGAGGAAGCTTTCCATCTCATCCACTCATTATTCCGCTGAAAAATATTGCACACGGGTTATCACGATGTCCTAATAACTACTACCTAGCACATCCCACGCTAATATCACATACAGGAATTAACAATCAGGTGTTTTTTGGACAAAGAGCATTAGCAGTACCGACGCTTCGCTGCTGCGCAAACATCGCCAGTCGCGTGTAAACTAAGGATACTGCGAGAGTCACCTTATCCACACGCAGGCTCGAACCCGTGCCCTCGGATTACAAGGTAGGCTTGTGATTCTTAAGGCTACAGACAAGATATGGCATAAATGCCATGGTGGTAATATTCGTCATAAGTAGTTATCCTAAGATATTCAAAGGACACTTGGAACCAAACTATTCTTTGCCCGGTTCTGCCAGCCGCATCAAGAGGAAGAAAATAAACCGGCTATGGATACAAGCGCTGTATTCACAAGTCTCAGGCAAAGTACAACTAACTCACCTGATCCCTCGATCGATCGCCTGATCGACCACACCGCGGCAACCGACTCCCATTAGCCCCAACTGTCAGCCCCATCACATCCTTTCCTCCTTTTTTAATATGTTGCAATAAGTTACGTACGGTTTTCCGCTGCGCGTATGCTTGCTATCTCAGGCTAAGGTTTCAGGTACCCTATATTGTTGCTGCTGCCAATCCTCGCTTTGCGGAGTCCGTCCATTACGTGCTCTCCTAATTTGCACCCGATTCCGTCTAATGATATTGCTCCCTATCCTGACTTCGTAGCTCCTTTCACCCCTGCGACCCTCAATCACTCCCCTCCGCCAACGTTCTCCCGAATCTGGTATTGGTTGCACCCATACTTCTCCTACAGCTAAGGGTGGGAGGCATCTCGATCCACGATCATAGTACTTCTTTTGTTTTAGCATTCTCTTCCGTAGTCGGTTGTGCACAGAAGCGTCCGGTGCTATCTCGGGCTGTAGCAGCATTGTAGCGGCCGGTAGCAGCGTTCTTGTTCTGCGACTGAATAGTCGCTGCACCGGACTTACTCCGATCTCGGTAGACGGCGTGTTTCTTCGCTCCAACAGCATTATGTAGGGATCCTCGTGGGTCTCCTTGGCTTTGGTAAGTACTTTCTTCGCCTCCTTCACTGCTGACTCAGCCTTCCCATTTGATTGGCTGTGGTACGGGCTGATGAGCCGATGCCGAAAATCCCACTTCTTGATAAAAGCGCGGAATTCTGCACTAATGAATTACAGCCCGTTGTCGGAAATCACCGCCTCGGGGATTCCATGTCGAACGAATTGACACCGTAACTTGTTTACTACGGCTTGTGCGCAGGTTGACGCAAGGGCATCAATCTCGAAGTAGTCACAGAAATAGTCGACCACAATCAAATAACTTTTCTCGTCGTGAGCAAATGTCCAATGCGACCATCTGCCAGGGCCTATCCGGAACGTCATAAAGCATCATTGGTTCCTATGGCTGGCGCACATCGTGCGTCCTGCATGTTAAACAGTTTGATACGTAATCACGTCTTTAGCTAGTCATTCCTGACCAGAACATCAGCTCACGTGCTCTTGCCACGCAATTGTTGATTCCCAAATGTGCATAGTGTACCATCTGCAGCATCGGACGTTGCAATGCCTTCGGAACCACTACCCTGTTGCCTTTGAATATTAATCCGTCTTGGGTGATGAGTTGGTCGCGAAAATGAAAAAAACGGAGTTAACATTTGGGCAATTTTTTCTTGTCTTCGGGCCATCCGTCTAGTATCGTCTGCCTCAGTAGTTTGCACTGTTCGTCCTCTTCCGTGCACCGTTGGAGCTGCTGCAAACGTTCCTTAGTGACCGCGAGCAGCTGTGTTGCGTGGACAAAATCCGTGTCTTATGCCAGTTGCGGTGGGTCTGACAGGTGCGCCCTTGACAACGTGTGATGAGGTTACGAACCGCATAGCAAAAGCTCGAGGTGCTTTGCCAATCTCCGCCACCTGTGGCGCAAACGTGACATTACTCTCGCCCTAAAGGGTAGAGTTTACAACGCAGCCGTCCGTCCAACTCTCCTATATGGTTGTGAAACCTGGCCCATCAGGTCGACAGACATGAAGAGGCTCGTCACATTCGATCATCGCTGCCTTCGCAGCTTAGCTCATGTCTGGTGGGAACACCGCGTGAGCAATGAGCGTGTTCGACGGCGCGTATTTGGTGCAAGAAGAGCGAGTGAACCGCTCAGCACCATTATATCACGCACCAGGCTCCGATGGCTGGGCCATGTGTTGCGCATGCCAGCACACCGACTCCCGCGACGTGCATTGTTTGCACGTTGTGGGTGCGGTTGGAAGAGGAGGAGGGGAGGCCAAGTGATGACTTGGTCGAGAGAAATGAAAACCCTCACTTCGAAGTTGGCGTCGGTTGGTGCATCCCGACTGCCTGGCTGGGGTCCTAAGGACGGTGAACACGTTTGGTTTGACACACTTGCTGACATGGCTCGGAGCCGGCACCAATGGCGTTTGTGTTGTGATGATGATGATGATGATGATGACGATGATGACGATGATGATGATGATGATGATGATGATTGATGATGATGATGATGATGATTGATGATGATGATGATGATGATGATGATGATGATGATGATGATGATGATGATGATGATGATGATGATGATGATGATGATGATGATGATGATGATGATGATGATGATGATGATGATGATGATGATGATGATGATGATGATGATGATGATGATGATGATGATGATGATGATGATGATGATGATGA